TTAATTATTATACATTACTTTAATATATATTTAATATACTTACATCACGAACCTATCAAAAAAACGAGGGGTGAACATTTTAAGAGAACCAACCATATAGATCAATTCAATAACATCTAATGATAAAACTTGTATAACATAAAATTCTAGCTATACTATGACACCTACCATCTAAATAGATTAAATATGATGATGTATAACTGGTTGTCTTCGATCAAAGAGATATGAGATTTTCGATATGAAAGTGGAATGGAAGCATGGTTTGTTTCACGGTGAAATGGCTGAGACTACTGACGAAAGTTAGGATCTCTTGCCCATGATAAAAACATTCATAAAAAGATGCAGTTGTTGTAAAAACGATTTTTTTTTAATAAATTTTACATCAAATTAAAAAAAAAAGTGTTGATTGTTTTCGTGGTTTTTTTTTACGTTTTTCGATGAAATCCTTTGCTAAAAATATTTTAACAATGCACCAAAACAAACTACTCTAAACCAAACAAATGAGTTGACAAGTCAAAACAGATTCGAACCAAAACAAATAAACGTCATCGATGTTTTTTCTCTGCTTTTGAGAGGCGACCCCTTCTCTCAAATAAAACTCTAGCGCCGCAACCTAAAATTATCCGATCTCCCTTTCCGATGGCTTTCACCGCCGCCAGAAAAGGAACCCTTCGTCTCTCTACTTCTTTATCTTGTTTTTCCTCTTTGTAGATGTTTTGAGTTCTTGTCTTCTCTAGTCTGTTGGATTTGGTGGCTAGACTTGCTTTTTTGACGGTGTCGCTGTGTCGATCCGGTAGCACGGAGTAGTGGCTTGCTCGGTCTGTGCTCGGCGGATCTGTCCTCATGTGGCTTTTGTGCAGATCTTCTTTGGTTCTTGCTGATTGGTCCGTTGGAAGTTAGATCTGGTTTGTTGAAGTCAGAGGGTTGGGTTTGGTCTATCGTGGTTATTGGTTTGAGGTTGCTGGATTGGGTGTGTTGGAGATCATCTCCTCCTGGAGTTTTCGACGATTGTGGATTGGTTTTGTTTCTCCGGCAGAGGCTTCGCCGATCTCCTCTCTTCTAGCCTGCTCTCCTCGACTCTTGATCTCGCTCCTCTTGCTTTGTCTTGAGGTTCTCTCTTCTCCCTTGGTCGTCAGTTCAGACCATCTCCAATCCATTTCTCTATTTTTCACTCTAAAATGGAG